CTCAGGGAAGGTGTTAGTAGACGTCTGGCCCTCATCAACTGAATTGATATCCAACCGTCTGACATGGTCCTTGGTGCCCCTGATGGTTAGGCCCCCTCCAACAAAGTCGCCTGCTATTGTGTAGATCGGCTCTTTGTTAGTGTCCGAACTACTAGCAGGTTGGACATCCTTTTTGGACGTCTGCCTGGGGTTTTTCTTTAGGGTCACCTTTAGACTTCAGGATGTAAGACTTCACCACGCCCTTATCAGCCAGACGGTCCAACAGCCGCTTGAGATTATAGCAGTCGTTGGTGTCGTGGCCAATATCCTCATGGAAATGGTGGTACTTGTTTTTGTTCCGGCTTTTGGCCGAACCTTTCATAGCAGCGGGCTTCTCTATGGTCACCCAGTCCTTTATCTCCATGAGGATGGAGTAGCAGTCTTTGTTAAACTCGTACTTTGGGACGTACGGTTTAAACTCTTTCTTTTTCTTCTGGGACGGCTGATCAGAGTCGTCAACCGCCCATATCTCTTTTCTCTTCTTACTCTCTTCAGCTTTCTTAGCCGGCTGAGCTTGCTGACTCTCTTTTTTGTCAGACTTCTTGGAGTCCGACTGCTTGCTGATGAAGTGCTTGGTCGCCTATATATAGGCTTCCGCCTCCATCAGCGCTTCTTGGAGGGTGGCAACCCTTTTTCTGACGAGGTCAAACTTAAAAGTCGACCCGTCCTTCAGACCTTTGAAGAAGTCTGTATAAGCCACATCGTCAGATAGCCCTTGAATCTGGATTCTCACCAAATTGAACCGCCTGACGTATGACCATAGCCCTTCTCTATACCCCTGATGCACTGCACCCAAGTCAAGACATGTTTTCTTGGCAGGGATATTCATAGAGAAGTTAGAAGCAAACAAGAACGTAAGCGTCTTGAAGCTGTTGATGCAGCCGGCTGGCAAGTTGCCGAACTACTGTTGGGCGATGCCCTTCAATGTAGCCGGGAAGCATCGGCACCATGTGGCGTCATCCAACCCCTGCAAGTACATGAGGTAGGTGTAGGCCATGAGGTAGTCTTTAGGATTGGTGGTACCATCATAAGTACCCACCATGACATTCTTAACCTTGGCCAGCTGTGCCGCCTCGGTTATCTCCTTGGAGAACGTAGAAGGTTGTTCCCCAAGTTTTAGCAGACGGAGCTGCCAGTCCAAAGGTTGGACGTTTTGTGCCGCCTGACCCCCAAAGAGGGCCGGTTGCATGTAAGGTTGTCCATACGACATGTATGGCTGTTGAGGCACATATGGGGCCGAATGGATCATCTAAGGGCCAGTGTAAACGGACAAGCCTCCTGACTGACTTTCTCGTACAGATTGAGAATTCCTCATTGAGGTATTTTGGAAGCTGTCTAGGTAACTCGACGTTGAAGCCGACTCAAACAATTGCTGGTTTCTCTTTTGCTTGATTAGGAACTGGGCATCAGAGTATGTCTTCTTTGAGCCATCCGGCTGAACATGCTGGATGGCCTTCCTCTTCCCTGTCTCAGGGAATCGGATCTTAGAAAGATCAATTAAGGGCCGCTTCCCATCCTTTGATTTAGGATGTGGAGTGGGCTCTCGGTCCCTTACTGGCTTGTTCTTCTCAAAAAGAGAAGGCTTCTTGGCCGACTGACCCCTGTTAGAGCCAGCCATCCTTTTGTTGATCAAGTCCTTTATCTCCCCTTTGAAACTTGTCATGAATTTCATGAGTTCGTCTCGAGTGACTAAGGCTATGCTTTTCACCGCCTGGTGTTGTCAAGATTGTTGTCCGGATAACTAACTTGGACCAACTTGATCATCGCCCCGTTCCCTTCTTTCCTTGGGACGGGTGCGTCCGGTTCTGAGTGACCCATCAGCGGCTACATACGTTTCGACTTCAAAGTCGTCATCATTGTCATGGTCCGAATAGACCTCAGGTTCGGCCTTAGGGCGTTTCTCATTAGGAGGCGATACAGACTGTTGTAAAGCCATCTTAAAGGTACTCTCTCCACAGACGGCGCCAAATATTTCGGGGTTTTCTGTGTCCCTCGGGAGAGTTACGTCACTAAGTCTGGACTCCGGGTGCCTGTACCTGCCAAACAACGGAGACTCTGGTTGGGTTGAGTTCCGCCTCCGACGATCAAGTTAGAACGTGTACGGAGAATGTAAAAGGTGCGGAAAGTAAAGTGAAATCTTCTCGGAATTTGAGATCAGGTGTTTTCTCTGAGGTGAGAGAATTCAGTGTGTTTCCATCATTGAAATTGTTTTTTTTTTCAAAGTGGGGTAAACCTCCCTACTTATAGGGTCATTGGGATTTGTGCCTTTGTCTTAGGTTACAGAAACCTAGGACTAATGGGCTGCGCTGTTTTTGGACAGTCTAGGGAATTGGGCCTTGAAGGCCGCCAATTCCATATGGAGTATCTTCCTGCCACGTGTCTAGCCCTGGTAAGTCCACTTTGGGCTCTCCCTAGATGACACGTGTCACGCTTTGGTTGGTCCACGTGGCGGGGTAAAAATACCCAAATCAAAGCCCAAAATCCTAACTTAATTCTAATTACTCTAGCCCAACTCCTTACATGGTTTGTCATTACCCCATGAGGCCCATTAATGGGCCTCATATTTGTTCAATCCAATACCCTTATGTGTGACCTCATAGGATCAATTCTATTAGGCTTTCGACTATTTGACTAGCCCAAAGATCATTTATCATATCTAGCAACAGACAATGACGACCCAAACGAATAAACTAATTATCTCCATAATAGTGATCCTTGATATATCTAGTAATTGCACTTGACGAAAACATAATTCCTTCAATAATTACTTGTATCAAATTATTATCTCATTCATCAGATATTTACATTTATATCATTTTTGTAATTTTTGTAATTAGTTTTTGAAAATAATTTAAACCATAATAACAAAAGATAATTTTCAATTATTTAATTGATTTAAATAATAAATTACTATTTTTTGTTTTTTTTTTCCTATGTCGTTAAAATTATTCATTAATATCATTTTTTAAAAGTTTTTATCGCAACAGACAGTGACGACCCAAACGAATAAACTAATTATCTCCATAATAGTGATCCTTGATATATCTAGTAATTGCACTTGACGAAAACATAATTCCTTCAATAATTACTTGTATCAAATTATTATCTCATTCATCAGATATTTACATTTATATCATTTTTGTAATTTTTGTAATTAGTTTTTGAAAATAATTTAAACCATAACAACAAAAGATAATTTTCAATTATTTAATTGATTTAAATAATAAATTACTATTTTTTGTTTTTTTTCCTATGTCGTTAAAATTATTCATTAATATCATTTTTTTTAAAAGTTTTTATTTATTGATCATAATATCAAAAGATAATTTTCAATTCTTCAATTGATTTAAATTATAAATTACAATATTGTTTTTTTTTCTACGTGGTCAAATTCTCAAATCTTATTTGTTACTTTACTTAGGTGGAGAATAAATTTTTAATTCTAAAATAAATTATAAATCTAATTTATTATTGGTCAAATTAATACTTTTTCTGTGGCACGTTGAACCCGTGCGAGGTACGCTTTATTATTATCATTTTGTATAATTGTTAATTTCTTAATAATTAAAATTTTAGCATTTAAAGATAATTTTTAGTTCTCAAAAAAATTAGTATTTCGTTTTTAAATAATTTTAATCCTAATAAATCCCTACTTGCTATTTTTATCTACGTGGAAAATTTCTTAAATCTTATTCGTTACTTTTTAAATTAAAAAAGAAAATTCAAATCTAATTTTAATCGGTCAAATAATACATATGCTTATAGGGCGTGCTGAATGCTCTTGAAAAATGCTTATTCTATTTATATACTAGTTTTATGCCCGGGTGATACCTAGATTGTTCATAAAAATATTTAATTTTTTTTTGGCTTGAATGTTAAATGCGATCTTATAATATCTTTTAATAATGTAGAATATTGAGACATACAATATCATATCGCTTAATTATATAATAGTTTACTTTTTATATTTTTGTTTGTAAATAGATATCTATTTTATTATTGACTTGAAATTGTTTTTATCGAACTTAAATTACTTTTATTGAACTTATTTTTTAAGGAACTTTTATTGAACTTAAATATTTTACAGATTAATGCCCCGTTCACTTCACCTCATTTTTGCTGAACTGAAATTATTTTTACTAAACTGAAATTATTTTTACTAAACTGAAATTATTTTTATTGAATTGAAATTAATTTTACTGAACTGAAATTATTTTTGTTGAAGTAAAATTATTTTTTACTGATTTTCTATTATATTTCTTCATTAAGTTTACTGATTTTTACTAAACTGAAATTATTTTTATTGAACTGAAATTATTTTTGCTGAACTGAACTTATTTTTACTGAATTAAAAATAATTTTACTGAATTGAAATTATTTTTATTGAATATTATTTTTGTAAGGTGAAGTGAACAGGCCTAAGACTTATTTTTTAATAACTTTCTATTATTTTTTTAAAGTAAATTAAATACATTATAAATAAATCTTGTTTTAAAGGGCATTGAAGTATATTGGTAACAAAACTCAAAATAATATTTTTATCTTAAATAACTTTGCATTACATGTGTCACAATAATACCTATTTGTCGTCTACGTGCTGTGACATTTGGCGAAAAACTAAAATGCCAAATGTCGATGTCTCGTGGCTTGGTTGCGAGACCGACGGCTTTTTTTTTTTTTTTTTTTTGTTGAAGGAATAGACCGACGACTTTATTTATTGGTTATATGATGATATGATATGCTATTGAAGTTTGCGGCTTGCCCATCTCTTTAAATTATAAAGAAAAAAAAAATACTGCACGTGCGACTTGTGGGTTCTGTCTTGTGGCAGTTTAAACACGTACTACACACATCACATCGGACCTGAACTAGAAGAAGCAAAGTGAAAATTCCTGTGTTCCTTTCAATTTAGGGTTTCCCAATTTGTATAATCCTGATAAATTAATTTCAGACTCCGAACAATGGAAGGTCCGAGCAATGGAGGAATGCTGTATCACGAAGTCCAAGAAGGAAAGCTGTGCGCTGTGCATTGCGTGAATACAGTATTACAAGGACCTTTCTTCTCTGAGTTCGATTTGGCCGCTCTTGCATCCGATCTTGATCAGACCGAAAGGCAGATGATGACGCAAAATACCGTCGGTGCTGGTGATTTCGGTTCTGCTGAGTCCCACAACGTCTCGTTGGGTGGCGATTTTAGCATCCAGGTAAATTTTCGGTATTATTAATCCCAAGTTTAGGCCATTTACTTTAATTAATCCTAAGTATCGATTATTCCTGAATAATCTCATCCCAATTTTGCGGATATTGACTTTTATCTCAGTTTTTATTCAATTTTTGGGTTCATTTCTGATTGAATTTCAAGGTTCTTATTTTAATTGATTGGGACTGTTGAAACAATGTGAAGTAAATTATTCTGTGATTGAAAGATTAGAATGTATGTTAACGTTTATAATGGTGACGTTTGACCTCTGGATAGTCCGAATCGGAGAAATTATATGGAATGCTTCGTGATTTTTTTTATATACTGTTGTGTTTATTCTGTTCCGACAATTCGTCACTGTAATTAGTTTTTTAAGGGTATAACTTTTGTTATATATAAAAGAATTTTGATTATACTGTAAATGGTTATGAAGGATACAACTTTAGTTGTCTTCATGAGAAGTAAAGAGTTGGATCATTCTTTCATTCATCGTGTGCACTGTGCAGTGATTGATAATCAAGCCATCTTTGGGTTGTTAGCTTAATGTTGAAGTACACTCTGACTTTGGAGTGAATCTCATATCTAGATTTGTTCATCTAATGGAATGGAGCCGTTTGAGTATGAAACTATTGGTGTTCGTATATTTTAGGATTTAGCTAGTTCTAGGCTTGGGTGCAGTGATTGGTGTTAGTATCTAAGATTATTTGATACCTACATTGTGACTATTGCAAAGCCTTAATACATGGACATGGTTAGATATGATGTGCTCAGTTGGGGTATGTGCTGATTGTCTTAACTGACACATTTTGTAGTCCAATCTGAATTAATCGAAATTATGTAGCAAACTTGTATTTAAGGCCCTTGTATGGGAGTGATTAGCACTTAATAATATGCTTCCTCCGTTCCTTAATGATAGTCCCTAATGGGCAATTTTCACGGGAATTAATAAACATAAATAAGAAGTAGAAAAAGTACATTGGAAAGATAAATTTACATTGGGTATGCAAAAAAGTAGAGAGAGTAAATAATAAAAGTACATGAAAAAGCAAAATTTACATGGGAAAGTTAATTTGCACAAATATTGTTGTAAATTGGAGGGAATTTTGATAAAAAATTAATATTAATGGTTGTTGGAAAAAGCAAATGGGGTGAATATTTTGGGACTAAAATTTAGCCAAAAGGGACTATCAATAAGGGACAAAGGGAGTATATAGACAAGCACATATGAATATCTGAACATTGGGGCGAATTTTATATAGGACTGTTCTTGTGCAATGACAATAAGAAAGGTATTGAATTTCTTTGAATGGACTGAGTCTCCTTTTATATGGCCTTTTCACTAGGAGAAAAATTTATTTTGTCCTCAGATTAGATTGTAGGATGAGAAATTTATCATGTTCATTTTGAAAAGTGTAACATAAGGCACAAGCTGAAGAAGCTAATAACCTTTAAGTTTCTAAAGACGGCCTCGACCAGCTTGTGGGAAATTAGTGAGTAATTATGGCCAAAAATGCAGTGGTGGCTTCGCAAGATAGTTATCATGTAAGAATTGTATGCCACGCATGATTACTTTATATGCCTATATGAGAATTTAATGTGCAGTAGGGAATTTGTATAATCATCCCACACTAGACCAACAAAGCTGTTCTGCAATGTTGCTGGCTAGCCAAAAAGCTAAATCAAGCTGTGTGTGTTTTTTTTTTTCGAAATAAGGAATGAAAATCTAACCTACACACTAGTCTTAAACATCTAATAAGATGAAATGCAACTTCTGGAAAATATAAAGTCTCAATTAAATAAAAGAGCGTTATGAGAACCTAGTTCTTGTTCCTTTGCTATAACACATGTTGCTTCTTTGGCCCAATTGAAGGGAGATTCACATTGGCCTTAACTTGGGCAAGATAAACTACACAGCAAGAGAAGGAGCTCTAAGATCTACTCAAAAGCAACCACAAATGCCTATAGTGGGCACCAAGTTTAATAATTAAATTACTCTAATTTTACATAAAAGTAAAACAAAGTAAAACTATATATTTAAACTAACTGATTTTATAAAGAGAAAAGAATACAACTTTTCCAGAATCGACTGTTCTGAAAACCGACCCGACCAAACTTTTTCTAATTCGAACCGTTAATGCTTGACTCATTATCAAGCCGAACCGTTACAATCCGAAACCGAAATAACCCAAACCGATTACGTTCGAATACGATAGTAACTCGACCCATTTTAAACCGAAACCATTTAAATCCGACAAAAGTCCGATAAACTCGAATCATTCCAACCTGTAACATGTTGTGACCGAACCGTTTATAACCCGTAACCTGTTGTGACCAAACGTTTTCAACCCGTTACCCATTGAGATCGAACCATTTACAACCTGTAACACGTTGCGACCAAGCCGTTTACAACCCTTAACCCGTTGAGACCGAACCGTTTACAACTCGCCCAATATGTTTATGATCCGGTCCGTTTCAACCCACTACTAGAAACCCAACTTATTTAAGACTTAACTCCGACTTGATAATGACTTGACTGATATTAACCGGATATGATTTGAACATAAACCCGCTTCGAACGGGGTCTCATTTTCAAATGGACCCAGTTCAACTCAAATCGATCATGACTTGAACCTGATAATGACCCGACCTGATTTTACCTGATGTGTTTTGAATCAAAACCCATTTTCAAATTGATCCAATTCAACCCAAAGTGATTATGACCTGAACCGATTACAACCGACTCGATTAGGGACCCAAACTGATTGAATCGAAACCTGCTTTAAACTCGCTAAACCCATTTTCAAACTGACCCAATTCAACCCAAACTGATTAAGACCCGAACTGATGAAAACCAAACCCGATTAGGACCCGACTCGAATAGAAACCGCAATAAAAAAAAAAATCCAAACCGAATTAACCTGATAATTGTCAAAACCGACCCGCTAATCATTTCAACCTGTTATAAACCAACTCGTCATAACCCAAAACCGATAAGCCCTACCCGAAATCAAAATGTTTACCCGAATTGGCACACCTAGTTGTGACTTCTTCATTCCATATGTATAATAATGGCTTGGATCACGAGTCTAGGTAAAAAATGAATGAAGTACAGTAGAGGTCAGGTAATGGAGATCATTCAATGAAAATATGGTAATAAAATTTGAATAAAGGAAGTATCTGGTTCAGGATGAGTAGATGATTTCATGGATGAAGAAAGCATGGTTGAACTAAGGTGCTTGTAGAGGCCTTGCCAAAGGTGATTTACTTGTTTATTTTGGAATGCACTTTTTTTACAGGCAATGCCTTCGGACCAAGTTGTTCTTAAGAAAGGGAACATAATTTCAAATAAAGTTATGATCCTATGACTATAGTTGCAAAGGAAAAAAAATAGAGTATTGCTTGAAACTTGATTTAGAAAGAAGATTGGACTTGTCCATTATATATTTTGAATACTAGTAGGTGGTTTTTTTTTTTTGTAAAGGTTCATTTTCACATAGATTCAAAGAAGGGGGCTTGAATTTTCTAGTGAGAAGGGATACGCCTCTTTAGAAAATTTATCTGTATAAAAGTAACATTATGAATATGAAATGCATAATTTCTAGTCAAAGGAGAGGTTATTAATAAAAGTTCCTAATAAGTTTTATTGCCAACCATTCATATACTGCCGAATTGAAGAGCCTTAATTGCGTTCAATCATTTCTTAAGGGTTATAGCATGGCCCTCACCTCCCATATACCCTAATTAAATGAGATACACGATGTTAAGTTGCTTATTATTTAGGCAATACTCTTTAAATATCCTTGGCCTTGCTTCATTTTATTACCTCCATTTTGTGTTGAAATGCTTTCAAAAAATACATCTAGAGCACCGACATTGTGAAATAACACCTTTTATGATTTATTTGGTGAGTATTATTTTTGAAGACACATCTATAGTACCGAACTTGTGAGATAACTCCTTTTATGAGTTACATCTAGTGCACCGACTTCGGAAATATGTATATATTTTTTTAAGGCACCTCTAGGCTAGTATCTAACCAAAAAATTTGACAATCTGGACATGTTAAACTCCTGAGCTTATTTTTTAAAAGTTATCTGTGATTAGTTGCATAGTTTTAATTGTCCTTTAAGAATAAGGTTCAAAATGTAACAAAAAAGATGAAGTTGCTTTAGTTTTTACTATGGTTTGCATGTGTGAGCTAAACCTGACTTGTGAGTTGGTTCCAATTTGTTTTGTGAGTTGGATTAGGAGTTGATTAGGATCAATGCACTAATTAGAAAGCCTAGGGCAGCAAGATTTTGGGAATTCATAATGTGTTTTTACCTAGCTATTTTTCCTTGTATGGTTGATATTAGGAAACTTATCAGATTGTTTTTTCATTTGGAGAGTTTAGGAAGATTATTGCTTTCCTAGGTCATTTCGGAGTATATTTTCTTGTTCTATCAACAAGAAAATCAGATTATGAATTAAATTTTTTTGGGCTTGGTTTTGTTTTTATTTTATTTTATTATTATTATTATTATTATTATTTTTTTTTTTTCAGTTTTTGTAAAACCATTAAACACTAATTTGGATTTCTGTGATTCTGTTACATCTAATTGCTCTAGATTTGTAAGAAGTCTTTGAAACCGCAGCGTTTCATATTGTTAAATTGCCTGGCTACTGTATTGATGAGTATTATTTTAATAGTTAAGGTTTTACGCTGTGAAACTTCTAGAAACTGTCCAAGCACTTACCCTCCTTCAATAAACTGCAAAATTTAAAAAGTTTCCCATAGGAAGGATCTGATCCTTGTCAAGCTGGGAAAATCTCTACCAACATAAACTGCAAAATTCAAAAAGTTTCCTAAAGGAAGGATCTGATCCATATCAAGCTTGCATAATCTCTACCAACAGTCATACAGCTAGCCATGAAACATTACTAAAGTGTTGAGGTCCTCTCTTATCACTTAGGAATTAGTTCTAACACTCTGAAATTGACTGTGCTTAGTGGAGCTAGAATCTG